GTTTTAAATATGTGAGCATCACCCTTTGACCCAGGAAAAAAAATCAATCGGTTAACAAGGAAAATCATGAATTGGAAGGGGATTCTGGTATTAAAATATGAAGTGATACTGAATTTGAAGATGATTTTGACTTTGTATAATTTTGTTAAAAGTTACAATAGCCTTTAATCTTGCGTGCACTCTCTCTCTTTCTCTCTCTCTCTCTGGAGATCCAAAACTAGCATTGTGATAATGCCAAAACAATAAAAATGCACAAGGAAATCCAAATCCAAAAGGTATTGCTTTACAACGCAATCTAATAAAGGTTTATGCCTATTCTAAGTCCCACTGTGTTTAATAGGGCTTACTCCTAATAAGTGTGTGTCAGGATTGCAGGTGAGGCTGCAATTGTAAACACGCTTGCATAGGGAGTAAGCCTCATTGAAAACAGTGGGGCTTGCTTCCAAGAAAACATGTATAGGATTGCACTACTAGAATACTATATAGTAAGAGGACTTCTTTTCTTTTCTTTAGTTTGTGTGCAAATTCCAGAAGGGAAGAACATGACATTGAATATCACAGTAATCAGTAAGGCTAAGTTAGAAAAAGAGCATTCTCATTAAAATATAGAACATACGGCATTGGGTTGGAGCTCATTCTCGTACTTTACACACACAGAGACACCTTTACCCACACACCCACACTGAACAGCAATAAGAAAACACTTAATTGATTTTTTTAAAAATGCACCCAAGATAATTACTTTCTATATTCATTAAGAATGCAGATAAATGTATTTCCACATATTATTGAAACTTGATGACCTAGCAAAAGAGAAATATTGTCAGCTATATTTCTATATTTCACAATGTAATTAGACAATACAAGATAATCCATTAGGTTGGGATCCTAACCCCATTAATCTGGGAGCAAGCCCCATTGAATTCAACAGACTTCCTTCTGGGTAGACGTGGTTAGGATTGCCCCGTTACTTTGTTATTTAGTAGGGTGGCCAGGTCCTCCTTGGAAAAGGGATCTAATATGGGGAAAAACTCCACTGAAGAAATACAAACCTGCCTCCATCATGATACACATATTCTCACTACCCTTTCCTGTTCTGATGTCCAGCTGCTGACTTTCTGGAAAAGCTAGGACAGCAGCATTGGACTATTCTAGTCTTATTAGGATGCAGTACTGTATCAACTCACCTGGGAATAAGCCACATTGACCTTAATGGGATCTTAGTTCTCAGTAGACATGCATAGAATTGCATTGTAAAACAGAATGTAAAATTTACTGAGGATCCACAGTATTTCTATCCTAGGCTGCATCAACAGAAGTAAAGTGTTCCTATCAAGGGAAGTAATAATCCTACTCTCTTCTGCCTTGCCTGAAGTACTGTGTCCGGTTCTGGGCACCACAATTTAAGAAGGATATTGACAAGCAGAGGAGGGGAACCAAGATGCTAAAGGGTCTGGAAACCAAGCTGTATGAGGAATGGTTGAGGGAGTTGGGTATGTTTAGCCTGGAAAAGAGGAGATTGAGGTACATGGTAGCCATCTTCAAATATCTACAGGGCTGTCCCATGGAAGATGGAGCAAGTTTGTTTTTCCGTGCTGCAGAGGCTAGGATTCAAATCAACGGCTTCAAGTTGCAAGAAGGGATACTTTAGTTGTGATTCCTGCATGGCAAAGTTTTGGAGTAGATGATTTTCAGGGTCCCCTCCGACCCTACAGTTATATGATTCCATGACTCTTTTCAAAAACTCTGCTAAGAAATCTGACTTTCTCAGTTTATTGTGGTACCTCAGTTCATGATTAATGGCATGACTTGGGGGGGGGGGAAGCACACTAAAGCAGGTAAGAGAACTGAGTTATCACTGATTAAAGGAACGATTATCCAGCTATTGTAATCTTACATGATGTTACATGACAATTACTGTTTGCTTCTTTGGTTACTAGGTTGATAAAATGTAATTGCTGCTACAGAGGACCGGCATTTTATCTCATGACAAAAATGAATGGTGTAAACAGCATGGATGCAGCATGATTTATTATCAGGCAGGGCTTTTCTTATATCTAGCCCATCTCAACCTGTAGTGGCGTATGTGTCCAGCTCCGTCACTCTGCTGCCTACCTGCTGGCTTGTGATATGACAGGTTGGGCTGTAATGCCAGAATACATTATGACATGATTGGATGCACACTTACTTAGCACTCCTAGCTGAATACTGACACACTCAGGTTTAGTGTTTTGAAGAAGGCAAATGTTAATTCCTGTAGCTGTCAGGGATACAGAATGAAAGCAAAATCATAGCCTTGTGGCTTGAAGGCTTCGCTGAATGCAAACGGTTTAAAGAGAGTAAGAGCAACAGCTTTCATCTTTTCTTAAGGACGCACTTTTAATTGAAATGGTCTTTGAGTTTATCCCCAGAAAGGTCTGTTTTCAACTCCGTTTCAAATGTCAATGTTCATTTAAAAATTGCCATTATTAGGGGAAAATCTGCACTGAGTGTACCTAATTTATATTTTAGATCAAATATAAAATATTTCTAAAGGGATACATACATACAAATGACTGCCATTGTATTGTTAGCTATATTTATAATGACTTAGCATTGATATCAGAGGGAGAGGAAGCAGCAGCCAGGCACCTTCCATCATGCCTGAATGATGGGCTGAGCTGAGAGCCCAACACCATCCATATACCAACTGCCACCACTAAGATCACCAGAGTGACCTGATGAACTCCTACCTGCTGAACTTTGTACCTAAGAACCATTCATTTGCCTTTGCCATTTCTCTCATCACTCCCAATCCCCTTTTACATTTGTGTGAGTGTATTTTAGACTGTAAACCAGTGTCCGCCAAACTGATGTTTTGGACCCCAGCTTTCATCAGCCATTACAGATGGGGGTGATAGGAGTTGTAGTTCACAACATCCAGAGGCTGCAAAGCCCCATCTTCACTATACATTTAAAGCAGTATTATACAGTGGTGCCTCGCAAGACGAAATTAATCCATTCCGTGAGTCTCTTCGTCTTGCGGTTTTTTCGTCTTGCGAAGCACGGCTATTAGCGGCTTAGTGGCTATTAATGGCTTAGCGGCTTAGCGGCTATTAACGGCTTAGCGGCTTAGCGGCTTTAAGAAAAAGGAAACAAACTTGCAAGAACTCGCAAGACGTTTCGTCTTGCGAAGCAAGCCCATAAGGAAATTCGTCTTGCGGAACGACTCAAAAAACACAAAACCCTTTCGTCTAGCGAGTTTTTCGTCTTGCGAGGCATTCGTCTTGCGGGGCACCACTGTACCATTTTAAGCAGTCATAGTTTTCCCCAAATATTCCTGGGAGGTGTAGTTGACTAAGGGTGCTGAGAGATGATAGGCGATGTGTATTCCTCTCACAGGGCTACAGTACCCAGAGTTCCCTGGGAAGAGGGGCTGATTGTTAAACTGCCCTGGGAAGAGTACTCTGTAAGAGGTGGATGTGACTTCCCTAACAAATCATAGTAATAATAAACTGATAATTAGATTAAAAATTATAATTTTGAAGTCTGCTCAAGAGGACTGAGACTACATATCCCATCAGTTCTGCAGAATCTGAAGCTCCATGTTCCAAAGGAAGGGATCTACAGACCTTTCTCCTCCCTTGAAGTGAACTTGGAAGCCCTGTACATCTAAATTTCATGTGTTTTTTAGATTGCAAGGGACTCTTAACTGATGTTGTGCAATACAAATATAGCTGCTCAATGTCTTCCTTTTGTTTGTTTCTTATTCCTTTATTTGCTATGAAAGCTCAATTATTATTTGATCCCAAAACAACATTGCTTTAAGTGACAGAAATCGTATGCCTATTTTAAAAAGGTTGACTTTAAAAAAACAACTCCAAATTATCTTTCAAAAAGAAGTAGGAGAATTTCAGTGATATACTAATTGCACTACTGTGTGCTTTTTGTTCAATTTCTATAGCTTTGACAGTCAACCATGTTAATTGTGCCTTACTCTGCTTCTTAACTGCATAAGGGTATAATTTTTTTTGTTCAAATATTACTGAATTCTAACTGAATTCCAGCTGAGTTTCTCTGCATACGGCAATTGTTACAAAGATAATTTCTGTCTCAAAAAATCCTGCAAACACCATCACATACGGTGAGACCACTTGCATCTATTTCAACATGTGTACATGTGTTGAAACAGATGTGGGATGTTGTAGAACCAGCTCACTGACATGGAAGAGATATTGGCTCTCAGTTTCTTGCCTCTCTGAATGATTGAGATGTTAGATTTGCATACGTGACAATTGTTGACTTCTCTAACGAACATTCTAAAACCGGCTATTTGAATATCTGTTATGGATATATATTATTTTCCTGCCTCTAATTCTTCCAATTCAGCGGAAGACTTTAGAAAATGAATATCACAGGAAAGTCTCTTGGCAAAATAACTAAAGAATTTGGAATTTCTGAGCAGCAGTCTCTCTCCTTATTTCCCCCCAATTCTCTCTCGCTTGCTTTCCAAAGGTATACATTAGGCTTTTAATGATGCATGAAGATGAATCCCAGTTGTAAATGCATGAGACATCCATAATATTGTGGAGAACAAATAATTAGTGTTTTGGAAATGTGTGTTCATCTCACAAAAGCAAGCTGCTTCTCCTCCTCCTTCCTGTTTTGAAGGCAATAGCCTGTGTTACATGAGCCATCTGCAATTTCATGGACAGGTGCAGGTTCAGCAACACTGCTCCAAGCTTGGATTCCAGAGAAAGTGGTAGATTTGCTCGTCATTACCAGGAAATCAGCAGAAGAGTTTTTCAAAAACACACCAGAAATGTTTTCTTGGTTGAGTTTTTCAATAGAGAATGCTATCCATATGAATAGATACTACCCTGCTCTTGTTAAACAATGGAGCTCTTACCATAGATATTTGGAGTAGGAAGTAGATCAAATGTTTTGAACTCATAGAATCATAGAATCGGAAGGGACCACAAGGGTCATCTAGTCCAACCCCCTGCAATGCCGGAATCTTTTGCCTAACGTAGTGCTCAAACCCATTATCCTGAAATTACGAGTCTCATGCTCTACCGACTGAGCTATACCGCTGCATTTTATCATCAATATTCTGTCTAGTTGGAGATATATATGTGCACAGGTCACTATATTTACCTTCTTTGGATTTCTCATACCTAAGCAGTTGAAGAGTTGTAGAGTTATAGAGTTGTAAAGTTGTAAAAAGTAGAGACATCACCTTGCCAACAAAGGTCCGTATAGTAAAAGCTATGGTTTTCCCAGTAGTGATGTATGGAAGTGAGAGCTGGACCATAAAGAAGGCTGATCGCTGAAGAATTGATGCTTTTGAATTATGGTGCTGGAGGAGACTCTTGAGAGTCCCATGGACTGCAAGAAGATCAAACCTATCCATTCTGAAGGAAATCAGCCCTGAGTGCTCACTGGAAGGACAGATCGTGAAGCTGAGGCTCCAATACTTTGGCCACCTCATGAGAAGAGAAGACTCCCTGGAAAAGACCCTGATGTTGGGAAAGATGGAGGGCACAAGGAGAAGGGGACGACAGAGGATGAGATGGTTGGATAGTGTTCTCGAAGCTACAAACATGAGTCTGACCAAACTGCGGGAGGCAGTAGAAGACAGGAGTGCCTGGCGTGCTCTGGTCCATGGGGTCACGAAGAGTCGGACACGACTAAACGACTAAACAACAACAAGCAGTTGTTGCATTGTTTTAATCCTTTATTAAAATCTGATCAATTGCTTGTTGACATTTTAAATTGTCTGGTTGGTTTGTTGTTCATGGGGCGTGCAGTATTATTTATTGATGTTCAAGGATCATTGTCACTTGCCTCATGCCCTGGTGAGGCCCTGCCTTCCTGCACCATGTAGCACCACAGTACTGAAATCCATCTTTGATCAAGGCCAGGAATGGAAAACCTATGGCCTTCCAGATGCTTTTGGGGTACACCTTCCATCAACCACAGCCAGTGACTAGGGATGATGGAAACAGTAGTCTGGGAACATCTTGAGAGCCACAGGTTCCTACCCATGATTTAGGTTTGGTGAATTGTATTGGTGGTATTAGAGCTATAGTCCTGATTATGGTTCCCTTGGCTGAGGAGCTTGTAATTCATTATACAATCCATTTTTCTAGCAATTTCATTTCCAGCCTACTTAATCAGGATGCTTGCTTCACTTCTTAACAGCCATTTATTTTACCATGAAAAAGGGCATCTTCCAGTAGACATCTTGTAAGCTGAAGTCTGGAATTTAATAAGCTCTTCAAATTGGGGTAATCCATGCAATTAAACCATAGAAATTATACAAGGTGTCCAAACAGGAGAGGTCAATATACAGATCTGTTTTCAATTGTATAGTCAGCAAGAAGTGATTTTCTTTAATTGGATTTCAAACTCATTGTGACCTCGCAATCTGAAGTGATGATCCAAGCCACTAATTAGCTAGCATAGCAGTCCTTTTAGTAATTCTTCTGATATATTCAAAGATCTACAACAGCTTCCAATCTGAAAGCCTGGTTGGTATCTTCATGTGGAAGTATAATCGGACATATAATTTCTGTACTGGGACATTTTGTTTCTAAAACCTGTCCAGAATGATCTTATTTGTTTATATGTGGCTTTGGTAACTGTCTTTACTGGGGATTCATAGAAGAGACTTCTGCTCTTGATCAGTTTCTTCTTATCTAGTACCAGGATTGGAGTAGTTATCCTCTTTCTGCTTTTTCTCAAACACATGCCACAGAGACAAATCAACCCTAAGTGGAAATTTGCTGAACTATTCCTCTTCATATAGGAGTGCATTTTTAATTCAGGGTATTATTTTCTTTTTATACTACATAGAACTATATGAACTCCCCACTCCCTTTAAGTCTTTGGCATGCTTACCAGCCTGATAGTGGCTATTGCCATAAACAGTTGCATAGACCTAAGTGTATAAAACTGCTGCATTGGCCAGAAGCACAGTCTTTTTTGAAGAGGAACCACACAACATCTGGCTTCTTCAAGTGCCCCTCTCACCATAGAAATGAGATTACAAAATTCCATATCAGAAGCACACTGTTTTGTTGAAAGGCTTTTTGCAGGGTTAATGTCAGAAGTTGGCATTGCTGGGTACCTGTTAAGGCCCATATTTCAGCAGGAGGCCCACTGCTTCCTGGTCCTGGTGCTGTTCCTTTTCCAATTACTTTCCTGTCCCTCTCTCTCTCCCCTAGGGGGCAAATAATGGAGGGAGCAATAGGAACAACAGCTGCCACCCTTTGCTCAACAATCTGAGCAGCAGTGGGAATGCAGACTGGAGATAGAAGGAAAGCAGATGGGTTAGGAGAAGATTCGCTTGTAGTAATCTTCACTTACCAGCCCACCAAGCTTGGAACTGTCACTGGCTTTTGGGATGTGTCTATTAGGCTAGCTACCTCGGGGGGGGGGGGGGCTTTCCCTTAGTAAGGATAAAGCAAGCAGTGTCCATTTCCTGCCAGGAGCAGCAGGACATGTAGTTTCGGCCACAGTCTTTGGCAAGAAGCGGGACGTGGATGGCGCTGTGGGTTAAACCACAGAGCCTAGGACTTGCCGATCAGAAGGTCGGCGGTTCGAATCCCCGTGACGGGGTGAGCTCCCGTTGCTTGGTCCCTGCTCCTGCCAACCTAGCAGTTCAAAAGCACATCAAAGTGCAAGTAGATAAATAGGTACCGCTCCAGCGGGAAGGTAAACGGCGTTTCTGTGCGCTGCTCTGGTTCGCCACATGCTGGCCACATGACCCGGAAGCTGTACGCCGGCTCCCTCAGCCAATAAAGCGAGATGAGTGCCGCAACCCCAGAGTCGGTCACGACTGGACCTAATGGTCAGGGGTACCTTTACCTTACCTTTACACTGTGCCTTTTGCTTCTGCCTTTCCCTTTGTCTGTTTGAAGGGATGTTTCTTGGTTTTCAGGCAGTGCCGGTTATGGCTGTGGAGCACATTCTCCTCAAGCACCACTGATGTGTCTTATACCAAGTCAGACCACTGGTCATCTACTGTCCATCCCACCTGCACCAGCTGTGCAGTGGTTTATCTGTGTGGGGGAATATATTAAAACCTTTATTTATTACAGGGATTTATTTTAGGTTTACTTTATTGTTGCTAGTTTGGTTACTTTCTATGCTGTGCTATTTTTGTAAGTTGATGAGATGTTACTGTTTCAATTATTTTTAACAGTAAGCTACCCTGAAAAGAATTCATTCTTAAAATACAGCATCTAAATGTATCAAATAATCAATCAAACAGCTTACAGGAAAGCTGTAGTGAGAAAGAGCAGGCCCCTGACAAATTTTCCCCTTCTGTCCCGCACACGCTGTTCTTTCTGGAGAACCATCGGTTAACCTGGAACAAACAATTTTCAATTTCCTTACAGGTGATTTAGCTCATTTAACCATCAGAACCCTCAGTTCCTTCATTTGATATTATAAAAATGTTTTGTTTTGTTTTTACTTTGGAAAGGGTAGAAACGTGTGTATAAATAGTTTTTACACATAACTGTTGCCGCTTGGTCTCTCTCCATTTTGTTTTATTTTAACATTGAATAGCTAATGAGATTGTAGATCAGTCTGCAATACTGCTGTTAGAAATGTTGAGCTTACCATTTTTCCATATCACAAAACGTATCCAAATTGTATACTAAAGTAGTAACCACATGAAATAAATTAATTGCCTCCTTGTAGTATCAAAGGAAGCAATTCTATAGCAGGATCCACCAGGATGATCCAGTGGATATGTGGGTAAGGCAGAAGGTTCCTGGTGTTGGTGGGCTCTCCCAGCATAAGTCCCCATCATCAGTATAGAATGAGATTTGCTGATGTATCTTCTCAGCCTGGCTCAACAAGGCTCAGGTGACTGAGCCATCTCAATGGATCTTAAACCCGTGTGAGTCTGTATACTGTTTAAACCCTGGAATAAAAAGGCTATATAAATTGTGAAAAAGAGCAATCCCAGAGGAGGGCCAGACAGGAGGGAGGGAGATTTAGGGTGGATCTTAAACCTGTTCAGCATAGTCACATGGTTTGGGAACCCAGTGTAAATTAAGCTGTTAAAAGGGGGGGGGGTAGCGTAATTCCAACTCTATTTCAAGGTTTGTTTTCCCCCTGCCAGGCTTTGCCTAGCTTAGACGGCTCCAGGATGGTGTTTGGATCTGGTGTACTTTACTCTGGCTTAACTTCAAGGTATACCAGCTTCCTGCATATAGAATTGCCCTGTGAGATTATAACATAACTCAGGAGCACATTCACTTTGTGAACATGTGGCAAAAAAAATTCTAATCCATAGAGCCACTCTGTCTTGATTTGCTAATTGTCACCATAGGAAACTCCTGTCTCTCCAAAAGAGAAGACAGTACTGCTTTCCCATACCACTACATATCACAATACTTCTATGCTGCAATGGCAGCATAGTTTAAAAGACTGATGACACTGAGGGGAAGAAAGGGGTATTGATTGTAGAGTTGATAGAAACAATATTGACTTTGGTGTGGGTTGTTTCCTAGTGAATTAATCACTGCCTACAATTAATTCCTCCTGATTGTTATTAATTTAGCAAGAAATGCTGTAAGTTTTGACTAGTGTTCCATAATCAATACCCACTGAGCAGAAAACAGAATTAGCTAGGAATGGAATAATATTTTAAGATATGCACATCTTTCCACTCTGCTACCAAAATATTAAACTTTTGACAGGTTCATATCTCATTTTTAATCGTAGCCTGGAGTGCTTTATCCTAAATGCTTCACAATAACATAAGAACATGAACTCATGGGCATGAAACTGCACACATACTTTCTTCAGTAAGTAAAGATCATCCAATAACAACAGCCCGTTTCTCAACATGAATTGATATTTGCAGTTGCCACATGTTGGGATCAAGTAATCTTTTGTTAGTTTGGTCCCATCAAGGTGATCAATTCCACAGCCAACATTTGTTAGCCAAGTAGCAGTAATACACACACAGCACCCACACCCCCACACCCTGATCATGCCCCCAAAGAGATTCACCCCCTCCATTATGCTCTGCCGCTCCCCCACTTCCTAAGTTTACTGCCACCCACCATTG